TTAAATGCAAGAAAATACATCGACGAAATGGGACAATCGCTGTTAAGGCAGACCTTTAAAGGAATCCCACGGGTTTCAACATTTTCTTGCAGATAACGCCGGATGGGGCTACAATGTTTGCTGTTGAAGTCTACTTGTTAAGGAGTTAGGATACGTTATCTTCATCTGCGGTACTAAACATAAAATGGGACTGGTTTCGATGCGAGATTCAATTTCTGCGAGGCGATTTAGTGTGAGGGGCAGATTATTTAGATAAACTTCGGTAATTCTTGGTATTTCAAAAATACGTAGAAAATTCTGAGTATGAAATTTAATATTAACTTATGGATTTTGAGCAAATTAAATAGTAATACTTTTCTCGCCATTTCTGGGAGTTGCTTCAAAATGGCGAGATGTGTTTAGGATTTAAATTATTATTGAAATATTAAGACTAACTTCAGTAAATAATTCTTGGTATTTCAAAAAATAATGTAAAATTATTCTTCGTGTGAAATTTAATATTATATCTTATGGATTTTGGGTAAATTAAATAGTAATACATTTCCCGCCATTTCTGGGAGCTGCTTCAAAATGGCGAGATGTGTATAGGATTTAAATTACTATTGAAATATTAAGACAAACTTCGGTAAATAATTCTTGATATTTCAAAAAGTAATATAAAATTATTCTTCGTGTGAAATTTAATATTATATCTTATGGATTTTGGGTAAATTAAATAGTAATACATTTCCCGCCATTTCTGGGAGCTGATTTAAAATGGCCGTCAACAAAAACTAATGACTCTACAGTGCGTGGACTTAAATTAGTATTGTAGTATTAAAATAAAATTCTGTAAATAATTCCTGTTATTTCAAAGAATAATATAAAATTAATCCTCGTACAAAATATATTACAATTCATGAATTTCGTCGAAAAAAAAATAAATACGTTTCTCGCCATTTCCATTAGTTGTTTAAAAATGACGGACAACAAACAAAATGGCTGTACGTCCAGAGTATAAATTATTATTAAAATACATTAAGAAACAGAAAAGATGTTTCTCGTAAACGCTGAAAAGATGTAGCAATCGTCATAAAACTCTCCGGGAATGCATTCCTAAGCGTAAAGACTTCATTACGAATATTGCTGGTCGCATTTCGAAGAACCGTGGAAGGAGGCTGAAAGAGACTCTGAGGAGCGATTAAATCGAAAGCGGAAAACTTCAGACGGCACTAGCTTTCTTCAGATTTATGTATCGCGGACGAAAGTAAACTAAGTTATAATCACTCGGTAGATAGTTTGAAAGATTAAAGATTCGACGAGAAAGCCTGTTCACGGATTCTCACGCTAATTAATTCTTGTGCCATTAATAATGTCTTAATAGCGAGCGAGTTCGCTGGTGATCGCCATTGCTTCGACGATTAAGGTTCGGTAATGCGGTGTATATTACAAAATTCACGATACGATCGAGCAAACAACGTTGCATGCTGCGAAACTTATCCGATGTTGTGAAATAAACTTCTTTCCTTTCATTTAGAACTTCATTTTCTATGCGGTCAGATATTTATCTGTGTTTATTAACGTTTATGGAATGTTCGGATCGAAGTTACGGTTTATCGTGTGGTCTGATAATTGAGATGTTTTTGAGGTTACTTTGTGGGGTTTTTAAGGTTAATGTGGTAGGTGTATTTTTAAGATTAGGTTGGCTGGAATGTTTTTAGGTTAACTGAGGTATTTTTAAGGTTAATTTGACTACTCATGTGTTTTTAAAGTTAGATGGACGATTGAGATGTCTGAAAGATTCATAATTGAGATGGCCTGAAGGTGACGTCGGCCATCTTGACGTCACGTGTGCTCAAAATGGCCGTCGCCAGCGCCATCTAACCACAGTTGCTATCCATATATTTGTATTATTGACATTTACAGTGTGTATATTTTTAATTTTAACACTCTATACATCTGCTACACGCATGTAACTAATATACTTAACTAATATGTCTAATATACATAACTAACCCTACATAAACCCTCTTTCCACAACATTAAACAAAATTTTCTTTGCATATCTTAAACCTGCCGTTATATTTGTATTCTAAATTACACTAGCTTTTCTGTATAAAATTATTTGAATTTTGCATAAACTAACAGTAAATGAAGCGAAAATGTACAGAAGACTCATTTTCGAGAAAATCAAGTTCAAAATTTTTTCCCCAAATGTAACTCTGGTTACAAACGCACCCTTAATGTTTATAATTACTTACAAATTACTTTGTCACCGTTTCAAATTGCTTTCGCCTCGCCACGGGAATGCAGCCATTTAAACAACTATGGACGTCATTAGAGCAACGCAGGAGCGAGGATCGCTAGGGAAAAACGCACATTTTCCACCGATCCGTATATCATAATAATCCGGAGAATTATTACTGGCCAAGTAAAAAGCGCCGGGATTCCGCTCATTGTGCTGCGTGACCGTACAATCACGAGCTGATTTCTTGCTAACGCTGGAAAGAAAGTCTTTAAGCTTTTGTGTCGAAAAAGGGTCATCATAGTTTGCATAAATACTTACTATATTTTTTAATATGGCATTCCTTCCATCATTAACGTGGAAAAATAGAGTATTTTGCATCTAACGGATTTAGTCGGATAAGATTTTCAATAAACATTTATTCATGTCTCCATGTCTCAATGTCTCAATATCTCAATATCTCAGTGTCTCAATATCTCCATGTCCGAGTGTCTCAATGCCTCAATGTCTCAGTGCCTCAATGTCTCAGTGTTTCAATGTCTCAATGTCTCAGTGTCTCAATGTCTCAGTGTCTCAATGTCTCAGTGTCTCAATGTCTCAGTGTCTCAATGTCTCAGTGTCTCAATGTCTCAGTGTCTCAATGTCTCAGTGTCTCAATGTCTCAGTGTCTCAATGTCTCAGTGTCTCAATGTCTCAGTGTCTCAATGTCTCAATGTCTCAATGTCTCAATGTCTCAATGCCTCAATGTCTCAATGCCTCAATGTCTCAATGTCTCAGTGTCTCAATATCTCCATGTCTGAGTGTCTCAATGCCTCAATGTCTCAAAATCTGAATGTCTCAATGTCTCAATGTCTCCATATCTGAATGTCTCAATGCCTCAATGTCTCAGTGCCTCAATGTCTCAGTGCCTCAATGTCTCAGTGCCTCAATGTCTCAGTGCCTCAATGTCTCAGTGCCTCAATGTCTCAGTATCTCAATGTCTTCATGTCTCAATGTCTTCATGTCTCAATGTCTTCATGTCTCAGTGTCTTCATGTCTCAATGTCTTCATGTAAACAGAAAAATGATGCTATAAATTGATGCTGAAGAATTGTGCTATAAATGATCACAGAAAGTTAGTTGCGAATTAAATATCAAAATTCGAATTCAATTAGCGACACCTGTAAAATCCACTGTCCCCCAGAAACAGAGATCAAAGTTAAGTCCTTAAAGCTCAGCCCCGCGGAAGCATGGCGGGCAGGCTGTAATAAGTAACCGGTCGTAATCCTAGGAGAAATCGATGGTGCAAGCTGTGTGTGAAGTTCCATGGGATAAAGCCTGCGCCGCGAGGCAAATAGACGGCCAGACGAGGCGAGGGGTCGTGAACTTGCGTTGTTTCGTGGAAATTATGGGTATGGTTTCCTCGTGGCACATACCGGGTTGTGATACCTCCGGCTGTCGATCGTTCGACGAAGAGACCGGGTATACAACCGGAAGTTGCAACAATATGACGGTACCTTTACAGGGATCCGTAGCAAGGAAGAAATTAACCCTTTCTACTTCGAATACTATCTTGGACTACGATACTTCCTTGAAGTTGCTCTTCGGGTTAGGTATAAATAGAGTTCTATGTACCTGCTGCAATTTTGTGCCGAGATAAGGTAACAATAATTGTGTGTACACATGGCCGGTAATCAAGATTACACATTTTTTTGCTGCGGACGTAATAAATGTATGTTATTATCGTTTTTATGGTTTGCAATATTGTATGCCGTGAGATAGATAAGAAAGTTTTTTAATGTTTCAATTTAAGTGGACATAGAATGAAGATTCTGGTAAATTGTGTAATAATATTGTGGCTAGTAACAGTTTCTAATGTAGCGGGTAGTAATGTGGCAATAAATAATTTTTAGTAGCTATTAATATTGAAATTATTGTGGTTAATGCTTTTATCTGGTTGTATACATCGGTTGTTAATACAGCAGCCACTAATATAGTACTTAGGAATCGAGTAGCTACTTATATGGTCGTTAGGAATCGAGCAGCTACTTACAGGGTAGTTAGAAAGCGAGCAGCTACTTATATAGCAGCTAGTGATACAACTAATAGTTTAGTAGGTGATAATATAGGTAGCTTAGGTAATAATTTAGCAGCTAATAATATACAGTTAATGTAGTAGCTAGTTTTATACATCATCTGTTTATGCAGCAGGCAATAACATAATAGGTGGGTATGTAGGAGCCACTTATGTAACGTTTATTAGTACAGTAACCACTAATAATTCAGTTGCTGATAAAGTTTATGTAGTAGCTAGTTATATACATCAGTTGTAATGTAATAGTCATTAATATACAAGGTTTCTAATATAACAATTACCAATGTAGTAGCTAGCAACATAACGGCTATTAACGTAACAGCCAGAAATGCAGCAGCTACTAATATAGCAGCTACTAATGTAGCAGCCAGAAATACAGCAGCTAGTAATATATCAATTACTACTATAACAGCTATTAATGTAGCAGCCAGAAATACAGCAGCTATTAATATAGCAGTTAGTATAACAGCTACTAATATAGCAGCCATTAATATAACAGCTACTTATATAGCAGCCAATAACATCTCACCTATCAGCAGCTTTTCTAAAAGCTAGTTTAACAATGTTTGCACAAAATTTTCCCATTTACAACAATTAATTAAATAAACGTAACATAATTGCATGAATTTTTATTGACACCATCAAACAGTTACATACACATATACAACACTCTATTAATTTTTATAAACTAATCCACATAACAATAAAACTAAATTTTTCTATCCTCGACTATGTTTCGGTCGAAAGCTTTTCGGAGGAGATGAAAGTTGAGCTTGCGAATCTTCTGATGCAGTATTGCACGGAGCTAATCCAGTATTTTTATATTGATAACTGCCGTATGAATATCCACATAAAGGGCAGATCATTCGAACCTTCTTCGCGCGTTTCATCATCAGCGGCACGAAACAGAGAGGCCAACACCTGTTGAAAAGGTATCATATCGCAACTCATACTAGCTTTGAAGCTCTTGAATAGAGTGCGTTAGATAGCAACTAGATAAATGACCGACAGGTAATTGGTTTTAACCGTAAAGGATTGCAAAGATGGAAAGAGCAAACTGTAATTGTTACAGTATACAATGCATTGCTAAAAAAGAAAAAAATAGCTATAGTGAACGTTTGGAAGGAGATCGCGTACAAAATGGCGTGTTTTGACAAAGTTCGGGCGGTCGCAATGCGAACGCAGCGTATTCACGGACAAGTTAAACGAGTGGTGGTTTAAGTTCTGAGACCGCTCATTAATCTTTTATCCTGACGCGAAGAGCTGAACCGACGGACAGGCAGCGTGAAATTAATTGTTGGCTACCTGTGCGCCAACCGAAACCGGCTCTGTATTCTGAATCATCGTCATTGATGCGTGCCGGGTTAACCTAACCTCCAATTTCGATGGCAGTCGGCAATTTTTTCCCGCCAGAAATTTCCATTAAGGGAATTGCTGGTATTAGTTGATAGCTGAGAATTATTAATATTGTTAGCTAATTAGCAATGGAGATAAGGAATAACTTATATAATAATTAGATAATTATATAGTAAATTATTTCATAAGTTACTTATATTTTATCATAAAACTAAAGTTGTACAAAAATATTTCAGCAAATAAAGTACATCTAATTAAAAGTAAAATATGCGAAGTACCTTTTTATTAAAAAAGTGACTCTAAAGCTAATCTACCGATGTAAAATGACAAACAAAAAAGGGCAACGGAAATTATGTTGAGTAATTAAATATTCTTCTGAAAACTCATCTTGTTATACGGACTGGCAATTAACCGCGTTAAAAATAATCGGGGAAATATTCGTTTTGTGTAGAGATGTATAAACAAATCGTATGAATTTTCTATGAAAACATGAAATGTTTGTAAAATTTGCACGTACCCTAGAAGACAGAGAGCTCCGATATGGGATGTTGTTAATTTGTCTCCCCGAGCGTGTAGCGTGGGCACCGCTTCCTTTTTACATCTTGGACAAAGCTTTTTCTCGCTGTGCGACTTCCACGTGTCCACTGTCGCAAAACAATAAATGACATAACATTTTTCAACGCGATACAAAGAATTATTGTCGTGAAGAACCGTACCGCGGGTCGCGTACACTTTTCTCGGCTCGCTTTTCCTGCTGTTGCCTGTCCTTACGGATCCCTTTGAAGTTAGCTGTTTTGACGCTGCTCTCGACTCTTTCTCCTGATATTTTGTAAAGGATGTTCGATTTCTACTAAATATCTTAAATTGACGTGAAAAATTGGAGCAAATTTGGTGTAGGGAAAATGACAATATAGGAAGATGTAAGATATGGGAAAAGGTTGTTTTAGAAAAAAATGTGATAAAGTTTTATTAGAGAAAGATACAGGAGGTATTCTTAGAAACAGATGTGGCAGAAGAGAGTTTTATTAGAAAAAGATGTGATATAAGAGGAGGTTTTGTTAGAAAAAGATGTGATATAAGAGGAGGTTTTGTTAGAGAAAGATGTGATATAAGAGAATGGTTTCTTGGAAACAGATATGATACAGAAAAAGAGTTTCTTAAAGGAAGATGTGATATACAAGATTTTCTTAGAGAAAGTGGCGATATATGAGAAAGTTTACTTGGAGAAAAATGTGATATAGGAAAAGGTTTTTTTGGAGGAAGATGTGATATACAAGAAAGTTCTTTTAGAGAAAAGTGTAACATAGAAGAAGATTTTGTTAGAGAAAAATGTGATATAGAAAGTTCCTTTAGAGAAAGCTGCAATATAGGAAGAGGTTTTCTTAGACAAAACTGTAGTATAAAAAGAATGTTTCACTAAGGAGTAATGATGTGCTACTAAACTTTACTACAATAAGGTGGTGATAAAAAAAGGTTCCTGTTGAAAAAAATGGCGATATAATAAAAGTTTATGAAAAGTGGCAATGTTGTTCCTCTTTAGACAAAATGATAATGTAATAGCAAAATTTCCTAAGGATGGTGATGACTTTAAATAAGACTTCTATTAAGGAAATGGCGATATAGAGAAAGTTTTCCCTAGAAAAAATGATGACGTAGAGAATATTTCTTCCCAAGAAAAATTATAATGTACTAGTAATCTATCATAGAAGAAATAAGGAAACAGGAGAAAGCTTCTGTAAGGAAAACACCAAGTAGATTTCCCTACGGAAAATTCCTCCACATTTATTGCAATACTCACTATTTCACCCTAGGGAATTTTATCATTTTTCCATAATATGTAGTTGTAAATTATGTACTGTTGGAAGTTGACAAATAATTCATTAAGCACACATTATGATTGTCCCTAGGAAAATCTACCAACTTCGCTATTATGCAATATATGTAGTGTAATATGAGAAAAGTCCTGCGAATATTGTCAATAAACAATTTCTCAAAAAAGCCTTGGCAAAAAATTCATTAAACACACCTTGTAATTTTCTTTAGGAAAATCTACCAACTTCCCTATTATACAATATGCAATATATGTAATGTAATGTATTAATGCAATATAAAAAAATTCTGAAAGCACTGTCAATAAACAGTTTCTCAGAAAAGTCTTGAACCCGATAAAAATATATGTGGATGAATCTATAATATTGTTAAAATTATGTTTCCGTATAAGACCATGGCGATATATCGTACCTGAATTAAGTATTGGTTGGAACGTTTCGGATGAAATTCACGAATGTGGTTGAGCAGCCCGTACGTGTCCCTTCCTCTATCGCTTACTCGTTTGTCACACACGGGACACCATGTAGCCACGTACTGCTGTAACGAAAACCGGGAAAATAACGTAACGTATGATATCATTGATTTTCTAACCTCCATGATTCTTCACGAGTCCCCGTTTCCGCTGCGCGTAATAAAACAGGCCAAAGAAAACAACCTGTGCTCCACATATCATGCTTCTTCCTTTTGTAAACGCGAATCCTTATTTCGTCGTCGGTTTGCCGAGCATGATAGGGACAAATGTTCGTTGCGCAAACTTTAAATGACGGAATTGCGACGATGGAGTCTGAACTTGTTCGCGTACCGGAAGGCGGATCTGCAGTGAATTTGGTTTATTTTCTGGTGTCTCGATTGGGGGACTGTGACTGATGTCGGTGTATTAATATTTTGATATTTTTGACTGTGTAATATTTAGATTTTGTTAATTTAACATTAATTTTTTTTATCACATTTCATCGTGATCTTGGATGTCGATGAGATTGAAGTGGAAGAGCCAATATTGTTTTGTGATGGTATTACTGTACTACGGTTATACTATTCTACTGTACTATTATTTTATTAATTTTATTACTATTCTATTTCACAGTCTTATTACATTAAAATTTCATTATATCACCATATCACTGTATCAGTATTTCATTATTTTACTATTTCACCATTTCACTATTTCAACTGCTTCACTATTTTACTATTTCATTATTTCACTCTTTCACTATATCATTATTTTACTATTTTACTGTTTCACTATTTTACTATTTTACTATTTTACTATTTCATTATTTCATTATTTCACCATTTCACTATTTTACTATTTCATCATTTCACTATTTCACTATTTCATGAATTTACTATTTCACTATTTCATGTATTTACTATTTCATTATTTCACTGTTTCACTATATCATTATTTTACTATTTTACTGTTTCACTATTTCACTACTTTACTATTTCATTATTTCACCATTTCACTATTTCATTATTTTACTATTTCATTATTTCACTGTTTCACTACATCATTATTTTACTATTTTACTGTTTCAGTATTTCACTGTTCATCTGCTTATCTATTCTACTATACCACTATACCACTATACCACTATACTACTATACTACTATACTACTATACTACTATACTACTATACTACTATACTACTATACTACTATACTACTATACTACTATACTACTATACTACTATACTACTATACTACTATACTACTATACTACTATACTACTATACTACTATACTACTATACTACTATACTACTATACTACTATACTACTATACTACTATACTACTATACTACTATACTACTATACTACTATACTACTATACTACTATACTACTATACTACTATACTACTATACTACTATACTACTATACTACTATACTACTATACTTACTATACTACTGAACTACTATACTACTATACTACTATACTACTATACTACTATACTACTATACTACTATACTACTATACTACTATACTACTATACTACTATACTACTATACTACTATACTACTATACTACTATACTACTATACTACTATACTACTATACTACCATACTACTATACTTCCATCATTAAATATATAGTATCACTGTCACTAATTATACTAAGTACCAATGCTACTATATTGCCATCTGTTATTTTACTGTATTACAATGCTACTATTCGACAAATTATTTATCTTATTATTCTACTGTTTCACTATTTCATTACACAATATTTCTTTCACTGTATGACTATACGAACATATTATATTACCATATTACTATACAGCCACATTACTATATTACTACAGCACTGTATTATTACTGTATTATGACTATATTATTGTACCACTATTTTTCTGTATTACTGTACTACTATAGTACTACTAGTATGCTTCTACTATAGTGCTACTACTATGGTACAACTATTACAGTGCTACTACTATAGTACTACTACTATATTATACTACTCAACCATACTACTACACTTCCACCCCATTACTACTACTACCTATCTTACTACACGATTCAATAAAATTACTTTCTCTTACTTCACAATTTAACCATAAATAATAGTTTTGCCTCCTACAAAAATAATCCGTCGACAATAATAAGATCAGACAATAAAGTAAAAAAAATCTAACAAAATGGACCCCAGACGGAAAGAGCTTTGTCACGTTTCAGAAGTTAGTCACCGAGTCCAGAAGTGGCGCTCGAAGGAAGCAATCTTCGGTGAACGGAAGGGTAAGAGGAGTTCAGAGGGGTAGGAGCTTTTCCTGAATGCGGTATGAGAAGTTCATACCGGAGTCAAAAGTTTCAGACAAAGGCTCGCGCAAAATGCAGCCCAAGTTCGCTGGTTCTGAGTTTCCGGAATTTCCTTAGTAGCCTATCAAATCTTAGATAATGCTTCAGATAGCCGTATAAGTCACGAGATTTCCGGTTCATGTCTTCAACCTGATGAGTCACGTGTCAGACAACAACTATCTCAATTTCATGTTTTTTCTTTTCCAAAATTTTGAATTATTTTGTTAAATATTTTGTAGTTCACGACAGCCTCGTGTGGAATGTTTGACTGTTTAATTTTAGTCGAATAGTTTTTACTTTTGACGACGTCGGTAAAGTAGAAAATGATAAAATGGTAAAAAATTTGTTTCCAAGTCGATAATAACTCTAGTAATATTGTTTCTATGCAAAATGAAATAAAAAATGCAACGATTTAAACTTATCCATAAGTGCTTTTACCGTATTTCACAGTTGAGTCCGACGCCATTTTGTGACCCGCCCCATAACGACGTAGCGTCATGTGGGTAGCAACCACTGGCGGGAAAACTCAAACACGTTCTCTATATTTTCCTACATATCAATTCTTTTTTCTTGATACATCTGCAGATAAATTCGCTCGATGTATTCAACGCTTTCAGTTACGCTTCCTACATGTGTACATATTTTGTTTTATACTTTTTTCGCATTTCACTTTTTATGTACCGTTCCCGTTTTTTATGATTCTTCCGAGCTATCGGACTCCAGAGAAAATTCCTTCTATTTTTTGACTAAAAATATTCAGTTTTCTAGCTGTGCAGAAGTCTACATTATTTTTTATAAAAGAAAATTTTTCTGGGTATTTTTGTAAAAGAAACAACGATTTCGATGGAGATGAGATCTACAAAATCAATTTTTTTTTGTAGATTCTATTTTCAAATAAAGTGGGATAAAGGTTAAAAGTATTTTAGTGGTCAGTGTTTTGTATATTTCTTTTCTAGTTTGTTTTCGTTAACCTTTTACCTTAATATGGTACAGATACAGAAGTGTTCACAAGAACCTAGTTATATTGTATAAATGTAATTTCCAAAAAATTTCAAATTTTGCTATAAATATAAGCAGTTCACTTATATCATATACTATCATATATTATCATAAGTACTTTACTTATATCATATACCATCATAAGTGGTTCACTTATATCATATACTATTATATACTATCATAAGTAATTCACTCGTATCATATATTATCATATACTATCACAAGTAGTTCTCTTATATCATATACTCTCATAAGTAGTTTACTTACATCAAATCCTATCATGTACTATCATAATTAGTTCACTTAAATCATATACTATCATATACTATTATAAGTAGTTCACTCATATCATATATTATCATACACTATCACAAGTAGTTCTCTTATATCATATACTATCCTAAGTAGTTTACTCATATCATATACTATCACAAGTAGTCCTCTTATATCATATACTATCATAAGTAGTTTACTTATATCATACACTATCATACACTATCATAAGTAGTTTACTTATATCATACACTATCATATACTATCATAAATAGTTCACTTACATCATGTATTGTCATCGGTAAAGTAGCAAATAACAAACCAGTAAACAATTTCTTTGGAATCCAAAATCCACATTTTTCACCTAAAACAAAGCTGTCCTCGAAATCACGTGGATGTGACAGGTTTTCGGAAGTGCAGTCCCGTTTCAAGGAGGAGTGGTTCGGCAGAAAAAGAGATAATTCAATTAGAGGACGAAGACGCGCGTGTCGGGTGGAAGAAGCGGATCGTGCCATGCCGTTGGCAGTGGGTCAGAAAATCAGGTCACGTGGAAGAGGCGGCGAAGAAAGGAAAATGGTGGGGGCCGTGTACCGTTATGCTCGTCTGGCGTCTTCGCACCTGGAGCTTCTTTCGCGTCGAGGAACACGAGTGAAAGAAAAAAAAAAGGGAACAAATCGTTGCCGATGTGGGCGAGGATGCATTGAAACCCACGCGCGTTACCTCGGATTTTCTTCCTGGCTCTTTATGCGAAATTCAACGGCACAGGCCTGCTGAATTTCGACCCGATGAAAAAGCTAGCGAAATCACGCAAATGGCGGGCACGTCGAATAAAATATTGAAAGCTTCTTCGCTGACATGTGTGCATGTATGCCTGATTCAAAGATGGTGGTTTTAATTATAAAACTCTCTGCCGGAGAGATGTGGACTCTAGGCAGATAACAAATATGACCCGGAGCTCGTGTGTTTGGGCTTCTTCGTGTGCATGTGTGTTTGATTTAAGGATGGTGGTTTTAATTAGAAAAATCTCCGGTGGGAATATATGAATGTCCGATATGTGGACTGAATGGGACGAGGATGAATCGGTGATTTTTGGACATGTTCTATTTCAGGTTCTTGTAATGCAGATGCTTTGATCAATGTCTTGATAGTAATCAGAGTGGTATGACATTATTTTTTGTACGTTTTTTGTGAAAATTATTTTATATTCTATGGATGTATTTTTTAGTTTCAGTATTCTATGTTTGGAGGCAGTTTGTTAGGTAGAGGTCACCTAATCTTAGAGTTGCACATGTGAGTATCTAGTGTTCATTAGGTAAAATTGATCTAAACTCAATGCTTCACATGTAGGTATCTAATGTTTGTTAGGTAAAATTGACTTAATCTCAGTGTTCCACATGTGGGTACCTAGTGTTCATTAGGTAAAATTCACCTAGTCTCAGTGTTCCACATGTGGATGCCTAATGTTCATTAGGTAAAATTGTCTTAAACTCAATGCTCCACATGTAGGTATCTAATGCTTGCTAGGTAAAATTGACTTAATCTCAGTGTTCCACATGTGGGTACCTAGTGTTTATTAAATAAAATTCACTTAGTCCCAGTGTTCCACATGTAGGTACCTAGTGTTCTTTAGGTAAAATTGATTTAAACTCAATGCTCCACATGTAGGTATCTAATGCTTGTTAGGTAAAATTGACTTAATCTCAGTGTTCCACATGTGGGTACCTAGTGTTCATTAGGTA